ACTTGGTAAATGTGCAGAATATGATGATAATTCACTTTGAGACATACTGTAAATGGGAAATATAGTCAATTACCTTCTTTTCCCCTTAATGTCCTTCCATCACTGTGTCAGAGGATGCTAGAGCAAAGGCCAGCATTCCTTGAGATTGTTGTTTTAGGTCCTCAATCCCATCTCTGACGCTCTTTCCTGTGTTTATCTGTTGGGAAAAGGTTATCAGCTACTCATGAGATGGAGAGGTAATGACCACCTGTATCCAGTTGTCAGTTGGTAACAGAATAGTTTTTTCAGACAGAAATACCCTGGAGAGGAGGCGAGCCATCACCCTACCCAAACCTCAGTAAGGTAGAAGCCTGCTTCTTGCTACTATCACTATGGCAACTGGAAATGGTTTGCAAATTCAGCTGATGCTCCAAGGGCAACTCCAGCTGCCACAGAATGGGTATGGATGGGAAGAAAGGACACTTTTGAACAGAATCCCATGAGTCATGCTGGCTGATAAATCAAACAGTATTTTTTTAAAAGTTCAGGTTATTGCACACATAAAACTTCAGGATGACCAGGGAAAACCCTTATCTTGTTTCCCACTAAGAGCTGAAAATGTAAAAAAGGCAAGTATGCCAATTGCCCATTATTTCTCCTTTTCTCCAGAATCATTTTTCTAACCTCATTAATGGTGGCCTTCTTGCTGGGGACGTTGCAAACCACAAAGCATCACACATTCTCAGCAGATTGGGGAGGGGAGTAGCTGTTATTACCACTGCCGACAAAAGTTTGATGCTGACCCTAACAAATTTGGGATGCTTCTATGCTTCTACTTTTACGAAATGAAGCAGAAAAGAGTCTGAATAATGTCGCAGTAGTTTAATGACAGATGAATGATTATAGAAGCAAGAAATGGGGAGGTAATTTTCTTCTTTGAAACTATTGGTAGAAGACCTAGTTCTTTAAAAAGGTATTGAACATGACTCTATGGCACAAAGGGTTAAGCCACCATCTTCAGTGCCAGCATCCCTTTTACGTGTCAGTTTGAGTCCTGGCTGCTCCACTTCCAATCCACCTTCCTGATAATATAAATGGGAAAGCAGTGAAAGATAGCCCACGAGCATTGGCCCTGCATCCAGTGAAAACATGGAAGGAACACAAGAGATCACAAATAGCCAAAGCTATCCTGAAAAATAAAAATCAAGCTGGAGGAATCACAATTCCAGACTTAAGCCAAACTACAGAGCAGTGGTCATCAAAACAGTCTGGTATGGTATAGAAACAGAGAATAAGATCAATGGAACAGAATAGAAACCTTAGAAGGGAGTCCACACATGTACAATCAACTCATTTTTTGACAAGGAAACAAAATAATCCAGGAGAAAAGCCTGGTCTCTTCAACAAATGCTTTTGGAACAATTGGATAACAGGCTGAAGAGGTAAGAAGGAAGACTCCCCCCATACAAACCTGTCATCTTCTAAAAAAATCAACTCTAAATGGATCAGGGATCTGTACCCAGAAACCATCAGGCTACTAGAATAAAACATAGGAAGCACTCTTTAAGATATAGGAATTGGGAAAGACGTCTTAGAAAAGTCATCAAAGGCATAGACAGTCAAAACTAAAATAAACAAATGGGACTACATTAAGCTGAGAAGTTTCTGTACAGCAAAGGAGACTACCAACAAAGCAAAGAACAACCAATACAATGGGGAAAAAAATCTTTGCACTACACAACTGAGAAGGGACTAATGTCCAAGATTTACAAAAAGCTTCAGAAACTCAACAACAACAAAATGGCCAACTCTGTGAAGAAATGAGCAGAGGAAATGAGCAGGTATTTTTCAAAAGTACAAATTCAAATGGTGAAAAAATACATAAAAAATGCTCAAGCTCCCTAGCTGTCAGGGAAATACAAATGAAAACCACATTGAGGTTCCCTAACTCCAGTGAGACTGACCTACATTCAGAACTCTTATAACAACACCTGCCTGCATTGGATATGGGAAGAATGGTACTGTTGTTCACTGTTGATGGGAGTATAGGCTAGTACAACCACTATGGAAGTCAGTATGGAGAGTGGTAAGAATAGTGAAAATTGACCTGACACATGACCCAGCTATTCCACTCCTGGGAATATATTCAAAAGAAATGAAATCTGCATATGAGAAAGGATCTGTAATCCTGAATTTACAGCAACACAATCCATAATAGCAAAAAAACAGAAACAACCCAAATGCCTGTCAAAAGAGGAGTGGATAAAGAAATTGTGGTACATCTACTTCATGGATTACTACTCAAGCATTAAAAAGAATGAAATTCTACCATTTGCAACCAAATGGTCTCAAATAGAGGCCATTATACTTAGTGAAATAAATCAATCACAAAAGGACAAATAACTTATGTTCTTTCTGATATAAGACAAATTTCATGCAAAATACAAGATCAATAAACTTTTCAATACTGTTTTTGCTACATATCATGAGGTTAGATATTGTTTTTTACTTTAATTCATTCAAAAATGTTTTTGTTAATCTTATTAATTTCCTCACTGACTCATAGGTCACACAATAGCATTGTTTGCTCCAGGAAGGTATTTTATTTTTCTTTTTCATTTCTTCAGCAACACATTGGTCCTTTAGTAGCATGTTATTTAACTTCACGTTGTAAATTTTCTATTTTTCGGGCCCGGCGCGGTGGCACAAGTGGTTAAAGGTCCTCGCCTTGCACGCCCGGGATCCCATATGGGCGCTGGTTCTAATCCCGGCAGCCCCGCTTCCCTTCCAGCTCCCTGCCTGTGGCCCGGGAAAGCAGTCGAGGACGGCCCAAAGCTTTGGGAACCTGCACCCGCGTGGGAGACCCGGAAGAGGCTCCTGGCTTCGGATCGGCATAGCATCGGCCATTGCGCTCACTTGGGGAGTGAATCATCGGACGGAAGATCTTCCTCTCTGTCTCTCCTCTCTGTATATCCGCCTTTCCAATGAAAAAATAATAAAAATAAATCTTTAAAAAACATTTCTATTTTTCCATCTGTTGTTGATTTTGTCTCATGGCGTTTCATATAAGGGTATATATAGTAACTGTGTGGTAGAGAGCATCACATACAAATGTGAAGGTACAATGTCGTGTGCATCTCTACTTCCAAATCAAAGATGGACTCCCAAAGATACTGTTGAATGTATCTTAACAACAGGATGCTGGACTCTGCCATTTTCCATGCCTACAATGTCAGGATATATTTAAATAGCAGAATGATGGACTTATGACTGATTGTGAAAGACGATACTATTGTATTGATATGGGGGAAATCAGTGGTGGATGGGGAGACAGAAATTTGAGGAGAGAAGAGAAGAATGGAAATCCAAGATTAGTAAAATAAAGAATTTTTAAAAGTCTACTTATTTTATTGGAAAGACAGACTTACAGAGAAAAGAAAAGACAGGCCAAGATCTTTCATTTGCTATTTCACTCTCTAAATGTCCGTAATGGCCTGAGTTGAGCCGATCCCAAGCCAGGATCCTAAAGCCCCTTCAGGTTTTCCATGTGGGTGCAATGTCCCAATGATTTGAGTCATCCTCTGCTGTTTTCAGAAGCCACAAGCAGGGAGCTAGACAGGAAATGGAGCAGCCAATGCATGAATCAGCATCCACGTGAAATTACGGCACTTGCAGGTGGAGGATTAGCCAATTGCACCATCACTCTGACTCCCATTTTTCTGGTTAAAGATTTATTTATTTGAAAGCATAGTGACAGAGCTATCACTTGAAACCACTGGTTTACTCCCTAGATGGCTGTTATGGCCAGACCTGGGCCAACTTGAAATAAGGCACCAGAAACTATCCTAGGCTCCCACTATGGTGGCAGGGGCCAAAGCAGTCATACCCATTCTTCATCTCCAGGTACATTAATAGGAAGCTGGACCAGAAACAAATCACCTGAGACTAACTGAAACTGTGACATAGGACCCCAACTTTAAATGCACACAAGCAATGGCTTAATTTGTTGTGCCACTTAGCAGGGTCCTAATTTCATTTCATAGTTTTTAGTATAGAGGTTTTACTTCCATGGCTAAACTACATAATTTTATACTATTGCAAATCAAATTTTATTTGCTTTCCGATAGTATGGAAATGGTATCAATCTGTGTGTATTCAATTTACATACTACCATTTTACTAAACTTATCAATTCTAACAGATTTTTGGAGGGGAGGGATAGGCTGCGGAGTGTTTGCTGGAGCTTTCTATATATAGAGTCATGTCTTCAAACAAGAAAAATGTCTTCCTTTCCAAGTTGAATGGTTTTCTTCCGTTTTTTTGCCTAATTACTCTGGCTATGACTTCTGGTGCTATTGTTGAAAAGAAGTGATAAGTGAGCAGTTTTGTTTGTTTATTTGTTTTTGTTTGTTTTTTTCTGGTCTGGGAAACAAAGCTTTCAACTTTTCACCATTGAGTAAGTATATTAGCTGTGTATTTCCAATGGAAGTACATTCTTTCCATATCTGATTTGTTTACAGTTTTTATCGAGAAAGGATGTCAAGTATTCTCACATAAATTTTCCATATCTAGGGCCCGGCGCGGTGGTGCAAGTGGTTAAGGTCCTCACCTTGCACGCCCGGGATCCCACATGGGCGCCGGTTCTATCCCGGCAGCCCCGCTTCCCTTCCAGCTCCCTGCCTGTGGCCTGGGAAAGCAGTCGAGGACGGCACAAAGCCTTGGGACCCTGCACCCGCGTGGGAGACCCGGAAGAGGCTCCTGGCTTTGGATCGGCTGTTGCGCTCACTTGGGGAGTGAATCATCGGACGGAAGATCTTCCTCTCTGTCTCTCCTCTCTGTATATCCGCCTGTCCAATAAAAAAAATAATAAAAATAAATCTTTAAATAAATAAATTTTCCATATCTATTGATCGTATGATAATGTAGTGACATATATGGACTTGTGTATGTTGAAACATCCTTGTATGCTTGGAATAAATCCCACCTGATTGTGCTGCATGATCCCTTTAAAGTGCTGTTAGCCCAATGTCAACACCCAGGAAGGTCAGTCTCCCTGTGTCTTGTCCTGGTGTGTAGGGGAGCACGGGGCTTTGCCTCATGATGTACAGTCTCCCTCCATGATGTTGAAGAAAAAGCCAGGCCTTGAGTCTGCAGCTGCATATTCCTACAGCTTCCCAGAGTCCATTGGGCTGCGACTGGGAAGACAAATCATGCAGGAAACATTTCTCGAATGTTTTGTGTGTCTCTGCCTCCTGTGGTTTTTTACTGCTTTGATGAATGGTTTTCTTCTCGAAAAAAATAAAAATGTGTTGATAAGTGTAGTTTGCTAGTGTTCTGTTAAGGATTTTTGTGTCTATCTTTAAAAACTATATTGGCCTATAATTATCTTGTAATGACCTTATTTGTCTTTGATATTATTTTAATGCTGCTGGCTGCATGAACTCAGAAGTTATCTCTACAATTTTGGGGAAACTGGGGTTTGAGGGGGGAGTGCTATTGATTCTTCCTCAGATGAGTGGTAGAATTCATTGGCGAAACCATCTGGTTCTGGACTTTTTTGCAGGGAGATGTGTTATTACTGATCTAATTTCCTTACTCTACTTCTCTATTCAGCTTTTCTAACTCTTTGTGATTCAATCTTTGCATGTTGTATGCATACATAAAATTATCCATTTTTTTCTAGGCTGTCCAATTAGTTGATCTATAATTATCATGGTTATTTCACACTATCCTTTCAATTTCTATGGTATAGATTTAAATGTATCCTTCATTTCTAGTTCTATATATTTTTTAAATATTTATTTTTATTATTTTTTTTATTGGAAAGGTGGATATACAGAGAGGAGAGACAGAGAGGAAGATCTTCGTCCCATGATTCACTCCCCAAGTGAGCACAACTGTCGATGCTATGCCGATCCGAAGCCAGGAGACTCTTCTGGGTCTCCCACGCGGGTGCAGGGTCCCAAGGCTTTGTGCCGTCCTCGACTGCTTTTCCGGGCCATAGGCAGGGAGCTGGAAGGGAAGCGGGGCTGCAGGGATAGAACCGGCGTCCATATGGGATCCCAGGCGTGCAAGGCAAGGACCTTAACCACTGCGCCACCGCGCCGGGCCCCTCTAGTTCTATATATTTAGATCTTCTTTTTTCTTAATTTAGGCAAAGGTTTGTCAATTTTGTTTATCTCTTCAAAAAATAAACTCTAGGTTTTGTTGATATTTTCTATTATTTCCTAGTCTCTATTTATTTGTACTCTGACCTCTGTTATTTCCTTCCTTTCACTAGCCTTGGCTGCGTTTGTTCTTTCTCTAGTACCTTAAAGAGCAATGCTATGTCATTTAAATAAGATTTATTTTTGTGTTGGCATTCATTGCTATAAGCGATGTCATAGTACTGCATCTCATATGTTTTGGTATGTTATTTTTCTTTGTCTTAAGATATTTTAAAATTTCTCATTTAATTTCTTCTTTAGTTCATTGGTTGCTCAGGAGAATATTATTTAATTTCTATATATTTGTAAATTTTTCAAGCCTCCATTATTGACTTCTAATTCCATACTACTGTGGTCAGAAATATTTTTGATATGATTTTAATCATCCCAACCTTGTTAAGATATATTTTATGGCAAACACCTAATCTCTCCTGGAGAATGTTCTGAATGTACTTTAGAGGATTATATTCTGCAACCATCGATCACAAGAGTTTATGTATGTCTGTTAGAAAAATGTGGCCTACATTTTGGTTTAAATCCGTTGCTTCCTTCTTTGTTTTCTCTCTGGATGATCTCTCCATTGCTGAAAGTGCAGTATTAGTGTATCCTACTCTTCTTGCCACCCAGTGCATCACTGCCTTTAGATCTGCTAATATTTGCCTCACATATTTAGGTGCTCCTATGTTGTGTATATGCATGCGTGTGTTTGTGTGTGTGTTTAGTGACAAACATTATAACAGTAACTCTTCTAACAGAAATGAGGACATATTTCGTTGTGCTTTTAATATTTATTTTGTTTGTTTAACAAAGTATTGAACGTTTACATTTTAAGCAAAACATTAAAAATAACACTGAAAGTCTTCTGCTAGTGTCTGACGCAGTGTGCAGTGAATTAAGCTGCCACCTGCCATGTCGGTATCTTGCTTGAGTCCTGGCTGCTTCACTTCCAATCTAGCTATCTGCTAAATGCACATGGGAAAGCAATAAAAAATGGAACAACTACTGGGCCCCCACCACCTACAAGGGAACCCCAGATTGGAGAGTGAATCAGCAGGTGAAGGATCTCTCTCTCTCTCCAATTTATCTTTTCAAAAAAATTAATAAATAAGTCTTAAGAAAAGCAAGTTTACTGCTATAAGTATCTATAAATGATGTTTTTTCCCCCCAGTGGAACACAGAGCTTTTAAGCAAGAAGAGATAATCTCTGAGTTCCCAGTCAACATTGCTTGGAAAAACAGTGAATGGTGTGGTTAGCTACACAAGTATGCATGGTGCGAGTCATACATAGTAACAGGGAGGCACTTGAGTTCTAATGCCTGTTTGGAGCAGAAAAGAAGTAACTAATAGCATTGTTCCTTAATAAAGCAGGTTCTTACTTAAGCATTGGTCCTTCAGATGGCTACCCTTTGGTCCAGTATAATTAGGAGAAATTTGTCTTGTCTGAAATATAGACTAAAAGATAGTTTCTTAACCTCATATCCATGAGAGCCACTGTAATTTAAAAATGATGAAAATAGTAAGTGTTGATGAAAATAGAGAGGAACTGTAAACTTCATTCACTAATTTAAAATGTTAAATTGTTCAACCACTTTAATTTGTGTGTAAACATTTAACAGTTTAAGAGAGCTGCCAAATGACCCAGAAATTTCATATCTAGTTACGTACATAAGCGAAATTAAAATACATATACAGGCCAGAACTAGAATAAGAATGGTCACAATGGTATCATTCATAATAAACAAAAAGGCGGATATATAAACAGATAAATAAATGTGGTATATCCATACAATTGCTGATAAATACTGTAACATCAATGAGCCTCCAATATATAACACTAAGTGAAAGCAAGCAAATCACAGGAAGCTACATATTGTATAATTTCATCTAGTGGCGGGATATGAGCTGGTTAGTTTGCAAATGAATGGAACCCTCCTCAATGAGTTATTTACCATCTTTGAAAATGGCTTGACCTGGGAAAGGTAGTCGTTCCTGGCTAACAAGTTCCCCAGATGTCAAAGCATAACATTTGAAGGATATTAAAAGGCGTGATTAATGTCCAGAATAGGCAACTGTATAGAAACAAAAAAATAAGTTAGTAGATTAATGGTTGCCTGTAGCTGGAGAACATGGGGACAATTTAAAGTAATGAGGAAAGGATATTATAATAAAATACAAGTTTTTATTATTATTCAACTATAGTGAGGCCGGTAGATCAGATTGTTGCCATTGAAATAATAGTTTGTTACCTAGAATTACTAAGATGAGGGGACAGACCATGGCACACCCGGGTAAGTTAGGAGGCAAGGAGCAATTACATGGGAAAAAGCTTTATTGTAGTTTTACAGAAAAGGATGTGAGAGGTATAGTAAGCAGGTTTAGAACTGGCTAGTTTGAATAATTTTAGCAAGTTCTTGGTTGATTAGAACAGAAAAATATTAGCCCAGAATGTGACAGCCTAATTGAACACTTGGTGATGTCTACAGGGTTTGAGTTGTTGAATCAGCATACAGGAGGTTCTCTCCTAGGGAGATGATTTACCATCTCAGTAAATGGCTAGCCCTGGGAAGGGCAGACTTCAAGGGTCAACCAAGCCTAAAATGGTAAAGCATCAGAACTGTAGGATACAAAAAGGCTTGATTAATATGCCTATAGATTTCTTTCTGGTGTGATAAAAGTGTTCCAAATGAAATTGTGATGATGGTGCAATTCTGTGAATATAGGAAAACCTTCAATTGTATACTTAAAATGGGCAAATTGTATGGTACATGGATTGAAATGACTAAATTCTTACTTAATAACACCCACTCAAACTGGAATAAGAATTGTATTTTTGCCCTAGCTGTAGGCAACTGCCTAAACTTCACAGTACCTAGACAAGTGTTACACTGCTGTGAGAAAAACAATTAATACCTGGCAGGCATTCTGAGTCTAATAAATGCCAAATTTGTGTTAATCATACCAATGTGCCAGCATAGATGCCTTTTTCAAAAACACAAATAGGGCCTGCCGCGATGACTTATTGGTTAAGGTCCTCGCCTTGCATGTGCTGGGGATCCCATATGGTCGCTGGTTCTGGTCCCAGCGGCCCTGCTTCCTATCCAGCTCCCTGCTTGTGGCCTGGTAAGACAGTCGAGGATGGCCCAAAGCCTTGGGACCCTGCACCTGCGCAGGAGACCTGGAAGAGCTTCTGGCTCCTGGCTTCAGATTGGCTTTGCTCCAGCTGTTACCACTGCTTGGGGGATGATCCATCGGACGGAGGATCTTCCTCCTTGTCTCTCCTCCTCTATGTATATCTGAATTTCCAATAAAGGTGGATAAATCTTAAAAAAAAAAAAAAAGATATGTGTGGGGAGATACCAGCAGATGGGATCTGGGGGTCCGCACCTGAGCATACATGAAACCTGGGCAGGTGGGCAAGGTATCAGGCTGTTATGATATGACTCTGGAAGACCAGTCTTGAGGATCTGTGTGCTGACAAACATTGAGAGCTATGGATTGTTCTGCGAAGGGCATCCAGGGATATAAGGGAGGGACTACTGCTGAGAGAGACCATGAGAGGTAAGGAGTGACTTCTGGGAACTTCCATCAATCAGGTTACTGAACTTACAGGTGAATGAGGAGGGTGAGACCAGGTGGTATGGAAGAGTGAATCCGAAGGAACTTACTCAGTCACACAAAGCATCTGTCCAATTGGCATACCTAACTTGGGTTGGCTGGTATCAACCACCATCAACTGGTGCACATGAAAACCACTACTAGGGGCCGATGGGCAGGGCTTGACCATACAACCACCACCACTAGGTTGGGGCACAGTGCATACCATGTCAGCCTGAGACAACACAGTAATCAGCATGTGAGAGAACTGGATCTGGGAGCAGATACTGTTGGTGATACATGGGCTCACCTTGTGGAACTGCCATATCAGCTGCTAAAGGGTCTGGGAGTGATGATGGGCCCAGCTATGAATGACCATGGAAGTCACGAAAATTCACGTGTGCTAGGGTTGAGAAATGGCCAGA